ACAATTTAAAAATACTGAATCATTTTATTCTGAATTCTCTTATTTTATATAATCAGCAACAAATCAAAGTGTATTTTCATTTAGAAAGTCATAATAAAGATAGCAAGTTTTGCTTATTTCCAACAACAAAATGGCAGCCATTTTAGTTACTGGGTCTGACTTTTAAAGACCTTAAATGAACCCAAACAAGAAAATCACTTTCTATTTAAGATGTAAATCTTCCAGTTAAACCATAAAGCATTCCTAGAAGTAGTTTAATGTGCATCCAGGGGCCACATGAAACTACTTCTAGGGCCCCAAATGGCCCCCGGGCCACACTTTGGTCATCTCTGTCTTAAAGGACTTAATTTTCTCCCCATTATTTCTTAATTTTATAGAAGTTTCCCACAAACACATTGCTGCAACAGCTTTATTGTATGTATTCAATGTGATTTTACATGCTAGTTAGATTAAACAAATTAAACCAGAATTTTATCCATCATAGAATATTCTTAACTTTGATTTAATCTAACACCCAGTAATAAAATACATACTGAAGCCACTAAATTTGTACAATAAATTTCTCGACTTCATCCATCTTTGGTTCATCAGAAACATCCCAAACCGCGACTGGTTGGATAGTTAAGAAATCCATAAAAAGTTGTACTAACATATTTCTCTCCTTCCCAGTGAGTTTATGCGATCCCTCATCGACAACATGGACCTGCGCTCCCTTGAAGTGCGACTCTTTAAAGCAAAGGTGAATCACATGTTTGTTCTCTTGAATTTGTTTCCAAAAGACACATCAGATTAACTCTTATGGCCCAAACATCACCTCCGCGGTTCTGCAGGTCTAATTGCAATGGAACAAACGTCCCGACTCTTTGAAGAGTGATTCGAAAGCATTGATTTTTATTTGGTTCTGGAGAGCCACTCAGAACCTCATGCATAGAAATGAGGGAGCCAAGCTGGAGAAAGGAAGAGGGGCGCCTTTCCCTTTTCATAGATTAGCACGGCCTTAATCTCATTAAAGTGCCCAGCAGTGAACATGCAGTCCACTCCGCCCCGGCCTGTAATCATCCCGAGACACACGGCTCATCTCGGGTGGACTGGGCCGAGCCAATACCAGCTGGCTGCGAGGGCGAGGAAGTAGCGGCCGGCAGGACATGAAAGCCTGTGGGTGTGGAAAACTGAGCCAGGTAGGGAGGCTTTGTAATTACAGAGCTGTTAGGGATAGGGTTGTTAACTGGAGAGGCTGCTGGGGGGCGGGAGGGGGAAGCGGGGGGCAGGGCTAATTGCCAGAGGGCTGTTGCCCCGGCCCCCCTCCCTCTGCTCTGCAATTATTACCTCGACTGCATTAACTGTGCAAACAGGTGCGCCCAGAGAGGACTGTGGTAATCTGAGGCCACACAAAATCACACACACACACATTCCCACATAAACACCAACAGGGTCCTTAAAGTTGACCTGCCATGCAAATTTCATGTTTTTGTGCTTTTAGTTGTGTTTCTACTGCAACTAAAAACAGCCCCAAAAAAATTAAAAACAAGAAACACCCAATTGCTTTTTGGTGTCTGGAAAATCAGCCATTACAAAAGCCTTGAGAATGTGAAGGCACTGCCCGTCGCCTAGCAGCCACAGAGATGGCTGCTGGAAAAGGCAAGTGTTTTGTTAACTTACCATCGAGAAGCCAATTGCTGCATTCTTGTCGGGGAGGAGGTTCCACTTCTGCTTTTCAAGGACGTGCGGTTGCATAATTGCGTATTTGCTTGCAGCTATCTTCAGGTTTGCGTGTCAGCGTTGAGTTGGGGGCGTGGCCAGCAGCAGCTCATTCTGATAGGAGCTGACCAAACTTAAACCTCATTATTTAAAATGATTTTGTGCACACAAAAATTAAACACACAGTCTTACCAAGTATTTTTGGTCTAATATTTTATTACTCTTGAAATAAGACTAAATTAACTTTTCAGCAAGATATAGGAGTTTGTTTGAAGTCAACAATTCCTTAATATTGTTGAAAAAGTGGCACATTACAGCAAGACGTTGCAAATGGTCAACATGCTACTGAGATATGCTAATGTTAGCATTTTAGCTAATTTAGATATAAAATTGAAACTTAGCTCATTAAAACAGAATCAGTGTTAGCCAATATGCTAGTGATAACCCAAATGTTGCTTGGAATATTTGTAGGCTTATTTATAAGTTAAATGATCCAATATCTGGCTGAAAAATCACTTTGGAAGTTAGTTTTGTCTTATTGCAAATGTATTAAGATATTTGCTCTGGAAAAAAAGATCAAAAGTACTTGGTATGGTTTGTGTTTTTGCAGTGTAATGCTCATAGACATATCCTGACCTGGTAGTGGAAGCATCATGGCTCCAGGGTCTTTCTGAATCTGTTATCCTGGCCTCTGCAGCAGCTCTTCCTGTTCCTCCTGGAGGATCAGCACGACGTCTCCGGAGCTCAGCGGGGCTTCATCAGCGGCGAGCAGCTGCTTCTGGAGCTGCAGGCCGGCGGCATCCACCTGGAGCAGGAGGCGGCCGTCAGGCTGGAGCTGGAGCGCGTTCCCCCTCTGGACCTGCTGGACTTCCTGGCCTACCTGCCCCTCTTCATGCTCATCCACCAATCGGTGATCGCCAACCCGCTGGACGACGCCGGCCGATGCTGAGCTCTGCAGCGGCCTGTCGGGCCTCAGGGGTCAGAAGATCAGCATAATAATGGGAATAAATTACCGTACTGTTAATATTCCTGCTCTGTAATGATGAAAAACTTTTACAGTAGTAAAGTAACATTTTATTGGACGAGGTAAGACTGACATGACAGTCATAAACATGTTTGACTGCTCTCACGCAGTCAATATAATAATATATTCGTAATATAATATAGTAATGACATTTTTAGAGCAAAGTTGCATTAAAACCTGCATTTAAGCTTCATTAAGTGTCTATTCTGTATTATTTGTCAAATTATGTCACTTTTAAAGCCAAATTTTATTATAACTTGCATTTAAAATGCATTAAAAGTGTCAACTTTGCATTATGTAGTAAGTAATAAACTTTTTAAAATAAAGTTGCATTTAAACATGATAAAGTTTTATTAAAAGATTCAACTTTGCAATATTTGATAAAAACAAATTGACACTTTTAAAAGCAAAATTGTATTGAAACTTCTTTAAAGTAAATTAAAGTTGTAAATTTCACATTATTCTTTAAGTAATTACACTTTTAAAACAAAGTTGCATCAAAACTTTGCAAAAGAAAGGTTTGACGAAATCGCTTAAAAGTAAAATCTCAATTTGTTTTCATGTTGAAATCCAGTCTATACATCTTAAGTTGTTCCTTTCACACCAAAACTTTAATTTATAAACACTGCCAGACTTTTTAATGTTGTAAATCCAGCCATCAAGTCTCCATCCTGCCACTCATTTTTTGTATGTCCTTTCATTCATAAACTGTTGTTTCTCCATCATTAGTACATCCAGCGAGTACTTTAGCTTGATTGACAGCAGTAAGACCCGCCTCCTGGCTCTGATTGGTTGTTTCTGGTTAGAGCTGTGCATTTCTCCAGCACTTCCAACCTAATAAAAGACTGTCACCACATAATGGCAGTTTTAGCAAATATGAAACTGCACCTTTAATATGGATGAAAAAAATCTAGTTACCAACAAACCATTTAAACTTATAATTTGGAAAAAAATGTCTGGCAGATTATTTCACTTTCTGTAAGCGACACTATTTGCTCACATGCAGGTGTTATTGGCAACTTCTGAGAGCAATTTGTTGCACTCAGAGAAAAAAGTGCACGCCGCACTTTTCAGTTTATTAAAAATGGTTTGAATCATGTATAACTTTCTTTCTGCTTCAGAATTGTAAACCATTGTGTTTTCTTTCACATGAAATTCAAATTAAATATATTAATGTTTGTGGTTGTAATGTGATAAAATACAGAAAAGTTTCTTGGTTACCAATATATTGATTGGAGATTATAACTAGCACTTTTTCCATCAATATTAAGAAATTTTTGATTTAAAACAAGTTCCTATTTTTGGCTGGAAAGTTACAGCTCAGTCTTATTTCAAATGTACCAAGATGTTTGCTCTGAAAGCCCTTCAGTCCCTTCAGTTTCCTCTCCTCGCAGGTGGCGCAGCCTGTGTGTTCAGCGGCGTGCTGCTGCTGTCAGGAGCCACACGCCGTCAGTCAGTTCAGCTCCGTCTCTCCACTCGACCACCGCCCGGAGCCCATTCACTCATTACAGCGGACACGCGTCCCGGCGCAGCCTCCGCCCTACCTGTCAAACTCAGTTGTCCCGAAGCGCGCAGACCACCTGACGCGCCGCTCACTCCGCCTCCAGCTGCGGATTTAAGGCGACATTCGCTTCTTTACGCGTCTGATGTCGGAGTTTGGCTGAAATTGTCCGGTTGCTGCGTAACCGGATGATTTAAGTTGCATAAAAGTTGTTCTGACGTGCTGCATTGTCTGTTTCTTTTATCTAAAAAGTGCTTCAGATGCGGTGCGTAAAAACAAAAGATAAAGATGGTACGATGAGACCTGTAGACAATAAACATGTGCGTAATCCTACCAATGCCAGTAAATACTTTATTTCGCTTTACTCATCGCAACGCTCAAAAAATGTCCTTCATTTCCTAATAATATGTGTGATTCCTCTATTTGAACCATTTCTTCTCAGTTTTCTTAGTTACTCACAAATTGATCCATTAATGACTGTAAGTTTGACCATAACGCCCAAAGGATTGTGCGCAAATACTTTGCGTAAAAGTTTGTTTCTTGTTTCTTTTGTTTTCACCGCTTTCAGTCACTTAATGTCGCCCTCCTTTGTTGAAATTTGGTCTATTTATAGGCAAAAAAGTATCTTAAAAGGTGCATAAAGTTAACAGAAGAGTCACTGTTGATCCCAAAATGGCTAAAAATTATAAGTTCTATTATTTTCCTTCTTTGCTTTTATATAATTTTCACTCTGTTCTCCAAAGCAAACATCAAGAAAAAAATAGACGTTGAAAGAAATTCAGTAAATCTCTTTATTTTTGGACTAAATTGTAAAAAATATGGTTATAAGAATTATTCAACATCTGCTTGTGAATAGAAGATAAAGAGCTGGCAGTATAAAGACACAATGCATTGGCTATTGCACTCTTTTTTTGGACAATAGCTGCATAAGTTTGATCATCGTGACATGATATAATGCAATAACATGGTTCTGCTATTAAATAAGACACATTGGTGCTATATAATAAAAACCTGGAGTGTCAAACTCCTGCTGGAAACCTCGTGAACACAAGAGCCAGAGAATAATAGGCGACACGTCTGCGTTGGCAGGAGGTATTAGAAATAACTTCGCAATATATAGACAAAATATATACAAAATGGATGCGTACAAAACATCTATAAATCTCTTACATACAAAAATATCTTAATATATTCCCAGAAAAAGCGTTTGATATAGAATTTAATAGAATAAATCCGCAACCTGGAAGCATTTGAACTGAATTCAGCTTCGGAGAGGTTTTACCAAACGGGTCGGTGAGACTGGAGAGGCAGAAGAGGAGCGGCATTTTAAATAATGTTTTGTTTTCTGGACAGCATGAATTCACATGAGGGTCTCTGTTTTTGTTTGGGTTTTTTTCCACTTTGTCTCCCTTTAATCCTGAGTCTTTAATCAGTCTGTAGGATTAAAACAGCGCGCCTTGTTCTCCGGGACCAACCCAAGCGATGGACAACAAAACTCAAACGAGTTGATCCAGAACTCTGTGGAAAAAAACACAAAAGAATTATATCAAAACTCAACAAAAGTTTCTAAAGGTGTTAGAAAATAACTGCGTCGTCTCACCTTGGAGATGCTCAGAACCAGTTGGTGAAGTCCAGCAGCTCCTGCTCCTCCGGACTCAGCGGGTCGTAGGAGCCTTCATCCGAGGAGTAGGAGGACACGGGTGACCCGGCCATGGAGTTCATGTCCGCGGAGTAACCCTGCGACATGCCGGGCGACAGCACGCCGGCCTGGAAGGCGGCGCTCACCGCGTCGTGCTCGTCCAGCAGCTGCTGCAGGGCGCGGATGTACTCCACCGCGGAGCGCAGCGTCTCCACTTTGCTCATCTTCTTGTTGGCGGCGCCGTTGGGGACGTGCTCGCGCAGCGTGGCGAAGCCGTTGTTCACAAGCTTCACCCGGTTGCGCTCGCGCTCGTTCCTGCGGGCCACCGCGTGCGGCTGCTGCTGCGGGAGCGTGTAGCCGAAGCCCGCGAAGTTCAGCCGCCGCTTGCAGCGCAGCAGCTCCGGAGAGGAGGAGCGCTGCCGCTTCGGCTGCTTGGGCTTCCCGCTGCACTGACTGCTACTGCTGCAGCCGCTGCTGCTGCTGGGGCTCAGCTGGATGCTCTGCGCGGAAAAATAACACGCGGTGGGAACCAGCTGCTGCTGGCTGACGTTAATTTCCATTTTGGCTGTAATGTCCATCTCCGGAAAGTAACTTTTAAGTCTCGAGGCGGTGCGTCCCGCTCGTGCCGTTCACGTGTTTCGACCGCACTTGTTCCGGTGGGGGCAGTCCGCCTCTCAGCGCTGAAATGTGTCCTGGAAGACAGACTCCACTGCTTTTCAATGCGCCTGGATGAGAGCTGGCCACGCCCACTGGTCGCGTGGATACACCTTGGGCTCCTGCGTCGGTGCGTCGCGCGCGTCGGACGCGTGCCACTTGAAGCGCTAAACAAACAGAGCGGAGAGGAGGAAGGAAACCTCCTTGCAGCAACAACAGTTTGTCCTGAATGTGAGACTTTTCTCGGTTCCTCAACAAACTTTTAATGTCACAAACATTTGGAAGAAAGCAAAAAAACTTACAAAAACTGGAATTAAGGTATTTCCGTTAACTGAAATAAACAAAAAGGGCAATTAATTAAAACTATAGTGCCTTTATAAAATTGACTAAAACATGCTTAAATCAGATTTAGTTTTGTGTTTATTAAAATCCTTTGAATTGATGTGAAAATGATTTTTATTTTTTCCTCGAACACGCAGTTTACGTCACTTGTCAACAAATTACGGCACTCTTGTACGCTGGTCCGCAAGATGGCGAAAGTAAAAGTTGGGATGAAACATCAATGTCGGTTGGTTGTTCAACAATAAATGAATACCACTTTTGAAAATATTATCTTTTGTTGAATGTATATCAATAGAAAGTTGTGTGGAAGAAAGAAAATCTGTAAGCAAAATAGGACGACTGCAACACTTTAGAAGAAAAGGTATGAACTGAGTGTATTTAAAACTTGATAGATCCAAATTTCTGTACCCGAAATGTACTTTTTATTGATCTTGCTTCCAAGTTTAGAACCTAAATTTTTATGTAAATCATCAAAACTAATAAACAAATACACCAGTTTTATCACTTTATGTGTAATAGATCTAGAAAAGATGTGATTTTCAATTTTTCAATTGAATTAATTCAGATTTTCTAGTGAAAGCAGGTTGTGATGAAATGTCAACCAATCAGGCTCTTATGAATAAATTACTTCATATATGAATATCGTGTGATCAGACCATTTCTGTTATTTTTTTATTGGGTGAAGAACTTTAATACTGACTGGAAAGGGTCATCATGAATGGTTTAAAGGTTCTGTTTGTATGCAAACATAAAAACTGCCAGTTGATTCATTGGATTTTACATAAAAATAACAAAACTAGCAGTGATAAAATAACACAACAATCAAACTATTAAGATCCTAAAGGAATCCAATCAGACTTGCTTGTATTTTTGTGAGATTTGATCTTGATTGTAATAGTTTACAAGACAATGGTGAAAAACACAGACTGACTGGTCACAGGTCAGTGTTTTTCAATATGGGGCCACCAGAGGGCGCTGTGGGGGCCTCAGGAAGCTGATGAGAAAGAAATTTAATCCCACACATTTTTAATCTTAAACTTTTCATCGTCATTTTTTTTTCTGTTATTGAAATAACATATTGAAATGTTATTTCTGGTGCTGCCAGTAAAATAATTGGACTTAATACTTTTTAAGTACTTATCTGTACTTCAAAATGTTTATTTACATCGTTTATTTAAATTTGCAATGAATTTAGTTTGAGTCGTAAATTCAACTCAAACTTGATTAAGTTTCCAGGTTTTTCTTGGAGGAACTTCTCTGGCGCCCCCTGCTGGTGGCCTTGGACAGCAACGTATTTCGCTTATACTTCGGGCTGGAAGATGAACCAGACCTCACCTATATTGCTAGCATTAGCATTTTTACCAGTTAAACCTTTTAAATTGTTTTGTTGTCAAACAAGATGGAGGACGGTTGTAGATCAGCATGCTGGTTCATCTGAGAGCAGCTGCTTCTGCACATCTTTTTATTTTCCCCGACGCGGCTCATTTGAGGCTCTATTGTCCATCGCAGGCATCGTGATCGTTTGCACAAGCGGAACGCCGAGGCGCAAATCCTCAGGGAGGCGCAGAGAATCCAGAGCTTTGTGTCTGATTGGACACACCCGATGCGCAGGTTGATTATTGTGGCTCTGATATGCGGAGGAACAGGATAAAAACGCGCGCAATTTCAGTTACATGCTGCTGCTTCTACTTCTTGTTGAGTGGGATTGTAAAATTGCGCACATTTTCTGTTGGCAGCGGCATTCAGGACCAACTGAGCGACCCCCATTGCTGTGCGCCCCACCTATACTTTCTTTTCTTCCCTCCTCCCCCTTCCCTTTTGGCGCAGCAAGAGAGTTTAGCCAAAGAGGCGTGGGTTCTATTCAGCGTCCTCTTCCCCATCTCCATGCTTTCTGAAACCTATCCATGCCCCTTGTCTGCCTGCTTCCAGGGTCCAATTAGCGCTTTGTGCGGACTTTGCGGGTCTTCCAGAAGCTGGGAGGGCGCGCTTCACTTGGAGGGGCTTTCCAGTCAAAGCTGAGTGTAATAATTATTATGTCATCTGGGCGCCCGGGTTCCCGTTTCACCACTTTCCGTGATTTTACGCTTTTGTGAGAGGCGTTCACTGTCCGGGAGGATAATAAAAACAAAACAGAAAAATAATACAAGCACCAAAACTAATTTGTGAGGGATGAAGGGATTACCCTCTCATTTGTTTCTCATCAAAAACATTTTTATAGCCCATAAGGATACCTGACGAGCCAGTATATATTATATTTTACAATATTTTTAATGACCCAATTATGAGCCCGACTAATTTTCTCTGTTTTATTTGTGCTTTCGCATATATAAAATGAATATAGAAATATAACAACATCTGCTCGAAAACTTGTTTTCTCCTGTCCAGGTTATGTTGTAATGAAACATCGCCCTCTAGCGGACATCGGCATTTTCACTCCGGTCAGATATTTACATACACAAGTCACTATGGACCGTTAAAAAACGTTTTATTCTGTTTAATAGGGTTGGGTTGCCGTACAGAACCTAAATATGACTTAGGGACCAGATAGACAGACGGAGGGATAGACATTGTAAAAACAATAAAGACCAAAATAAAATAGCAGTGTATTGCGTTTCAGTGCGTTTGCATATTGTGACCACTAGATGTCATCATTTCAACTTATTCCATCTTAAATATTAAGATGTTGATCTGTTTGTTTGCGCGGTGTTTTTTTTTTATGTAACCACAACCTGAGTACCTTGAAGCGTATTAAAATATGTTTTCAAATAAAACGCTCTGATATTTTTCTAATTAAATTTATCCCCAGTTATATTTTAAAAAATGGAAAATGTTTTGTTTTTCTGAATGGTTTCTGAGCACCAATCAGTCCGCGAGTGTGATTTTTGTCTTTTCCGAGCTTCCGTTGGTTTCAGGTCACGTGGTTTTGTTTACCCGGAAGCAGAGCGACCGTTCGACGAGTTAGCTTCGGATTTAGCCTCAGAAATAAGTCACGTTTTCCACATGTCAGTTTAGCGGATTTTAATCCAGTGGTGATGCGGTCGTTAACCTTTGTGCACCGGATCAGTTTGGACTTCACAGGAACTATGTTTCCTCACGCCATCTGCCTGGGAGACGCAGACAACGACTCGGTAATAAACCTCCAGATTTCACCCGTGCTAAAGTTGACCCAGTATTCCTAATATTTAAACTGAAGATAATTTCTTTTTCTACTATTATTATTATTATTATTATTATTATTATTATTATTATTATTATTATTATTATTATTATCGTTCTGTGTCTGTTTTACAGCTTATATTAGTGCACTTTAATGTGGGGTGGATGATTCAAAATAAAAGTAATTCATATATTTTTGGTGTATCATATTTTAATGAAATCTTTATTATAAAGTTTAGATCATTTTTTAACTGAAATAGAACATGATTTTTAGACGAGAATGATAAATAAGCTATATTGTTCATTAAAAATAAAAAAATTGTGAAACATTCTTATTTTAATGTATTTTGAGGTTGTATTGGTTTGACTGTTTTAGGGCCACTGTAGCCAGAAACAGGAAGATTTCCGTAAAAAAAATCCAGAAATTTAAAACAAAAAAAAAAATCAGAAATTTTCTAGAATTGTTTTTTTTTTATTTCTGAGTTTGAAAAGTAATTAGAAATTAACCTCAGATATTTTTTTTGTGTCAAACATAAAAGGTTTTGACTCACAAAACTCATATATTTATGATTTTATTGAGAACATTTCTGAGATTCATTTCGAAAGTTTTTTTGTTGTTGTTGTTGTCAGAAATGTATGTCTTAACATGTCATCATATATTTGTTAATGTTAAATATATTTAGTTCCAGGTGCTCTTATTATCCTACATGCACAAAATGAGATAATTAAAAGTAACTTATTCACATTTATATCAAAAGTTCTCAATTGAAGTAAATATCACAGCCTAAGATATAAATAAATGAATTAAAGCTTTGTGTTCGTGTCTCTGCAGCTGAATGAACTAATTGTTGGAGACACAAGTGGAAAGCTGCTCGTCTACAAGAATGATGAATCCAAGCCTTGGGTCACAAGAACCTGTGTGGGAATGGTTGGTATAGAACAAGAAAACCACAGAACAAAATGTGACTTCTGGCCCGTTTTGACATGTTTTGCTTTTCCAGCTGACCTGCGTCGCAGTCGGAGACGTCTGCAACAAGGGAAAGGTGAGCAGATTTAAATCAGAAGCAGCTGGATCCTGAATGATCCACTCAGCTTCCTGGATGTTTTCCAGAATCTCGTCGTCGCTGTGGGAGCAGAAGGATGGTTCCACCTCTTCGACGTGACGGCGGCCAGCGCCAGCAAATCCGACTCCTCCAGCCAGCATGAGTTCCTGTGTCCTGACGACCAGAGACCCTTCTTCACCCAACACATCCCGGCCAACACCAAAGTCATCCTCATCAGTGACATCGGTACAACCTTTGCTTCCATTTATCTGCTTCAATGCAAAGCAGATTCCCTGCAAAAGTGGTGATCTGTATGTGTGCAGACGGAGATGGGCGCTGTGAGCTGGTGGTGGGATACACAGACCGGGTGGTCCGAGCTTTCCGCTGGGAGGAGCCGTCCGACAGTTCAGATGGGGGATCCGGTCAGCTGGTTCTCCTGAAGAAGTGGCTACTGGAGGGACAGGTCTCAAGCTTTTAGATATTATTTATGGTGCAGAAGTATCCATAGTTACAAATTTAGTCAAGCAGTTCTTATCCATGAAGCTTGAAATCAGGAATTCAGGAAAAATCATAATTTAAATTAATTAAATATCAAATTCAGATATACTCAATATTGTTATCGAGTCCTCAGGTTTAAAGCTGCAGTGCATAGCTAGTATAGAAATATATATTTTGGCATATTTGTTGAAGCTGTCACCATGTTATTATTTACAAGTATAATCTGTTAAAAGTTAAAGGATGGAAGAAAATTGCTACAGCTAAAATTCAGTAGTTTGGTTTTTATTCATACAATATGCTTTCGGTATCTTTTTTATAATTGTCTAATTATTTCTACTGAACTTAATTTCATTTTCTGTGTTATTATTTATCTACCTATGATGTTGTGTTTGTTGTGAAGCACTTTGGTCAGATGAGGTTTTTGTAAATGTGCTATAATATCAATAAACTTTGACTTGACTTGAAAAAATTAAGCTCCTCTAAAAACAAGCGTTGGCTGTTCACCTCCCCTTTCACTTTCCTCTTTTAGGAACCATTTTGTGGTTTCTGTTGTTAAATAACAGAAACGTGTTCTGATGCTCGTTCTGCAGGTGGACAGCCTGTCCGTCAACCCGGGTCCCGAGGGTTTGCCGGAGCTCATGGTGTCCCAGCCGGGCTGCGGTTACGCCATCCTGCTCTGCACCTGGACCCAGCAGGACTCCACCGAGTCTGAGGACGACGCCCCTGCCACGCCGGGCAGGTAAACCCCGTCAGACCCAGAACACGGGCTTGGCTGCTGGACGATCAGCTGCGTGTCTGTTCACAGTGACTTGCCGTCCAGAGATGTAGTTCTCCACCTGACCAGCGGGCGGATTCACAACAAAAACGTTTCCACTCACCTCATCGGCAGTATAAGCAAAGGTCATTAAATTATTTAACAACGTACTAGTTTTACTGTTTTTTCTCTCTTAATACAGATTACAGCAAATTATTTAAACTTTTTCAAAATGATTTTCTAACTTAATTATTGCCGGGTCATGTCATGCACCTCTTCATTTGAGTTCAGCTTGTAAATAATTAACTTATAAAACTGTGAATTCATGGCATATTTATAAAAGATATATATTTAATGTTGATAACAGACAATCAACCCGTTTGTTTCTGCTCTATTTTTTTGTTTGTTTCCCACAAAAACATCGGCAAAAACTCTACATATTGATTTAATATGTTTTCAATTATGTTCTTTTTTTTATTTTTTAGGTTCAAAAGAAGAATCATCAAAATGTGGACTGTTTGCACTTTGTACTTTAGATGGTGAGAGAGGGATTTTTGTCTCTTTTTATCATTATTTATGACAAAACCAGCTTCTAATAAAGCAATATAATGTATAAAATAATCAATTAACTCATCAGTGTAGGAGTCTATTGTACTACAACCTTTAGATTCATCCAAAGTCCAGTAGCAGGCCTCAGCACAGCTTGGTGAAATGCTGATGAAGGAATTCAAACTTTATGTTCACGAGTATTTGACCAAAGCTTATTAAAGGAACATTTTGTGTAATTTCTTGTATTTAAAGAATATAAAATCTCTGTTTTTGTCCTCAGGAACCCTGAAGCTGATGGACAGCTCAGAGCAGCTCCTGTGGTCAGTTCAGGTCGATCATCAGCTCTTCGCTCTGCAGAAACTTGACGTCACTGTGAGTCTGTGCTTAGTCTTTTTATTGAAACTGGTTGTTTCAATAAATCTATTATGAGTTCGAGGTTCATTTCTTTGGGTGAAAATCAGTTTGTTTGGGTCTTTAATTGCAGGGAGATGGCAGAGAGGAGGTGGTGGCCTGCGCCTGGGACGGTCAGACCTACATTATCGACCACAACAGGACTGTGGTGCGCTTCCAGTTTGACGAAAACGTCAACGCCTTCTGTGCAGGTGACTCAATAACTTTATGATTCAGATTCATTTTATTCAAATTCAATTCAAAAACACTTTATCAATCCCAATAAATTATTTTTTTTCAATTGAGATTCAAGAAAAAATATCCTGAAGCTCCTTTTAGAAAAGTTGTGGCTGCTTTGAATATAAAGAAATGAGAGACTGCTCTGTTTATACCGAGACATTTGCTCAGTATTTACAGCAACAAGTCAACAGCCAACTGTCAACAGTTTAAATAAACCACCAGCGCTCATCTTGGTTCTGGTCCAGAAAGAAGAAACAAACAGAAAAGAAAAAGAACCAGTCTGGGTTTATGTGCAAGAGGCTTCCATCTGTCCTCTCTAACCTCATCTGGTTTAGATCCCGTTAATCTCTCACATCAATAAAACTCTTCTGACTGGGGTGCAAAAATGGCTGCAGAGCCTAGTGCTCAATGTTTAATCATAAATATGATAAAGATGCTCTGTAGCTTCTCAGTTTGTTCATAGTCAGCTTCTAAATAATAAATCACAGTTAAACATAGAAGAGCAACTCAAATATAGAAGCATTTGGGTGTAGAAGTGATTTAAACAACCTTTAAAATATGTTTTGTTTGCCCTTTATCACATTTTGTTGTATCATTCATTGGCCAGGTGTAGAGCTAAACCATCACCACTAGATGGCACTATTAATCCGTGAGAAATTTACTTTTATTTATTTTAGGTTCATTTCTTTGCTGAAATGGAGATAAATCATCTGCACTTGACTCCTGCTGCTCCATGTTGTTCATTTGGATCACCAGACAGTGCTGCAAAGGTTTTCACAAGTTTGACGTATTGTTTGACGGATCCCCCGTCAAACAATTACTGTTTTAAACAAAGTTTAAAACAGTAACTCTGTTTTAAACTTCTCCACTACTTCACAACCTGACCTTTCCGCTGCCTTCTTTGGTTTTTATGATGAGGTTTCACTAATGTTGCCCAGGCAGTGTTTAGTAAATAACATTGTTCTAGAGTCCCAACTTAACGGTTTTATTAGTTAGCCCATAGTGCGATTCTGAACTCTGTATTTTGAAATCGTTCGTCTCTGAAAACATGCTACTTTTAGCATGTTGCTACCAGTAGCAAACGTTATTGTGTTGCATTGTAGCATCTTAGCTAACAGAAGCTAACGCTTCAACGTCTCACGTCACGCTGTTCAGATATCCGTCCGCTCCGCCATGATGGACGTCCAAACAACCGATGCGCTCCTTTAAAGCCTGTCAAACAACAGGCAGTCGGTCGCCTAAAATTGCTTCTGTTTAGTTGATTTCACTCTAAAAATTGCCAGAGTGCTGAACGGTCGACTGTATAAACAGACAAGGGTGGAAACCAAGCTTGTCCTTTTATTCATTAACTGTTAATGAGGAAAACTATGGCGGCGATGGATAGCAGGTGTCAGTCATTATTATCGCGGATTTGCAGCGAACACTTTTTTACAAGGTAAGAAGTTTAACGGTTATTTACTTTATAAATATGTATAATTATAATACTACATTATGGAGAAGGCACGCGACTAACCGTTAGTAACCATGGAGATAATGGCGCTCCGTTATGTAGCCTAGCCTAGCTACATGACGGAGTATGGAAGTATGAAAATAAACTTTTTAGCATCTCGTCTGTTGTACGTTTTTAGTGCTGCTCCGGTTTAAGGGAAAATAGCCTTTAGGACATGGAGATGTAAATAATGTGTGAATTCAGTGAAAGTTTGTAATTTGACCAACACGCGAGGAGGGAGAAAGTACGGGTCGGTTTCTAAGCTAGCTGTTAATAACTTTTGTAAATATCGCCGTCCATGAGCCCCAACACGACTCCAACAAGTATAAACCATGAATAAACTGGCAAAAACAACTTTGTAAAAACAATTGTAAGTAGCTCGGTCCGTCATGGCGCCTCGAAAATGACATGGTGTCAAAGAGTCAATACAACCAATATGCTGATAGGTTCTAAAATGCTAACATTTAGCTAATTTGCTAACATACGGAATATAGAACATCATCTATATGTCGGTGTTATTTAGTGAGGTATTTGATAATGTATTACCACAATAATAAGAGCGTCAGTAGCGCTAGCAACTCTTTATGCTAACAGTACTCGGAATATTTTTAAGTAGCATTGTGCTTAACTTGGGATTCAAAATGCAGTGTTGAAAGTCTTTCACTATTTGCTGTACTGTCATTAGCGTAAATATCAACATTAGCTAGTATGCTAGTTTTAGCTTATAACAGCACAGAACTGCCTGTCTTTGATGATGACCGTGGGCAAAATGCTAACCCAAAATAATATCTTCAAGTTTGCACATCAGGTACTATTAGTTTACTATTTATGCTAAGCTAGCTGCAGTTTATATGCTATCATTAGCTAATGTTAGCTCTTAATATGCTTCTGCATAATTCACCTTTTAGATGTTATGAACTACTTTGTTTTGGTTTGTTACAGAAAATCCCTCCGAAACATTGAAGGTTGTGAATGTATCCTGACCAGATGGGTGTTTTTTTACAAAACTTTTAGGTTCAAAATGTGGATTCAAATCTGTGATTTCAGGTCAGTACACATGCAAAGAGGGCAAAAACAGCCCCTGTCTGGTGTACGTCAGTTTCAACCAGAAAATCTACATCTACTGGAAGGTGGAGCTTGAACGGATGGAGTCCACCAACCTACTGCGAGTGCTTGAGGAGAAGCCCGAGTTTAAAAGCCAGCTGAAGGCTCTGGGAGTTGGTGAGTACAAAAACAACTCGGAGGTGGTCTCCAGGAAGCAAATTTAGCTCCAACCAGAACATCGTTCATTAAATTCAGCAAACATTGCCTCAGTTGGAGGTTTTATTTGAACAGGAGACAAACTGTGACTGTTTGCAGCCAACAAACGTTCAGTCCTGAGCTGGCACTCAGACTCTGACCTGAATGGTAATGAGGACGGAGGAGAGGTTTACTGCCCACTTTCTTCTCACAGTTTCAGAAATGTGTTTGCTGGCTTATCAGAAGAGTGACAAAGCAGGACTGGCACTTCTGCCTAATCTGTGAAATTCAAAGATTCAACGAGAACCTCCTTAATCAAACCAGCTGCACATACACAACCTTTAAGAAGTCAGTAGCGGATCATAAGTGCTTAATTAAAGTCTCAAACTCTGGCTTTAAGCCTCGGGTTGTGACTCATCATACATGGGATTTATCTTTTTTATTTTTTGTAAAGATTGGAGGAGAACAAATACAAATGAAGAGTAACATGAGGATAAACACAAAAATAAATCATTACCAGGTCAATCAGTAGCTGTTAAGGGACCTAATTGTTGTTGTTTTTGTTTTTGGTACCTAATAATGATAATATTAAGCTGAACTGCATAAAAACCGGACTCCGTTCAGTTTCACTTTCTTGTTCTGGGTGGTGCTCTCTGCCATCTTTGTTTTTGTTTGGCTCTGCTTAAGGATGAGCAGCGGCGCCCTCTGCTGGACGGCGGCCAAACTACAACACTAAAATAAGGCCTAAACTGACATTATTAGTTAATCGATTGGAACTCCTTTTCATTTTAATAAACTATTAATCGATAAGTCAATTAATTATTTGCAACTCCATCGTAATAGTAATCTTTATGTAAATGAGTGAGGAAGTAAATGTAAAAAAAAAAAAAAAAAAGATTGGTTATGTGCTTATATTGTTTTTATGTGTAATTTATACATTCAAGAATGCAGATTAAGCCTCTCATTTACATTTGATGATTAAATATATATCTATAAACACAAGGAAACCTGAATAAACATAAAGAAAACTCAGAACAAAATCTTAATCAAGTTTAAGAAACCTCCTCTGTTTTTTAGAAAATGGATGGTGAAGGTTTCTCTCCAGTCAGACAGTTTGATGTAAAAAATAAAGAAAAATGCATAAATTAGATTTCAATGTATTTATTTGTATGAGGGAAAGTCTTATCGTAAACTAGCTTAAGTATTCTGAGCATAAGCTAATTAACATCTGTCCTGATGTGGCTTTTTGATGAATGTTTATGTTATAGCTAATAATTATCGATGAGACGTTATATAAGTTGCTGCAACCCGTTGAAATATTGGGTGCAGATGATCGGTACTCAAAAACTCAAACTGGTTGTGCTTCTAGTCTGTTAATTTGCCATAACAAACTACCAGATCACAGTAACAACACTCTTTCAATAGGCTCTGTTTTTATTTAAGCCATCTATGACAGTTTTAGTACATAAGGATTAAAAGTATAAAAAAGAATTTAAAAAGTAAAATTGGAGGATTGTTTTTCCCATTTTCCAGCTTTAATGTGAAGCTAAGCTAACCAGATGCTGCTTCTGCTGCTGGCGTTTTATTTAACAGCTAATAAGAGTCTTTCATAAAACCCTCATCGTGACTGACAGACGAGGTCAGGAGGGAAATTTATCCCGGCCAAATCTGCAGCTTGTCCATCAACTCTACAGCTTCTCCGCTCTTCTCCCCGCTGCTCTCGTCTTGCTCCTCTGTATTAATCACAAACACAGCGTTTGCCTTCAGTCAGCATTTGGTTAATTATTATTCCGAATCCTCCATGGTTGTTTATTTCCTGTTAATTTCTTTTGTTAATTATCTTTCAGGGTGAAACATTAGTCTTGCTGCTGTTGCAGTGATTTTCACTCAGTAAGATTCAATTTAACTTACAAATTAGATATTTTTTTTTAACACATCATGTTGAAGTTGAGACTAACTTTACCAAGAGCAGAAGAAAAATGGTGACAGATTTCATTCAAAGAAGAGAAGCAGTCTATATTTGGATTTTTTTTTTTAATGATCACATTCCAAATGGCTGCCATCAGTATAAAATGGGAAAAATAAATTAGAAGTTTGTGCTGTATAATCTAAGCTAACGGAAACGTTACACAGCGACACTCAGCCTCTCCCCTGCCGTCCTTTTTATTTTAATACGTGTCCTCAGACCAAACGTTGATTATTAAGAGCCTTTCGGATTTCTGTCGAAACTGGAAAAGGTTTCTAAATAAAGCAAGTTACTCCTAGGTTTTTAATTTGTGATGAAGGACTTCAGTCTGCCTGTGTGAAAAACTTGGTTCATTCCTGAAGAGTTTTGATGTGAGAAGGTAAGGAGGCTTTTTTTATCACCTGAAATCAACAGGGTGGACGTTTCCTGTGAAGTTTATCTGTGAATCAACAGAAGTGAGAGAGATGTTCATAACTATTACACAAGTTAAACTAAACCTCCATTTTCACCAGGTATGCAAGTATTAAAAAGTTTTCAAGTGCTAGAGACAAGCGAACCCTAAAATCTCATTATCTAAAAATTATTTTGTGCAAAAAATCTAATTAACTTGTTTTGTGTAGCCCATAGATCTAACTTAACCAGTTCAAATTAGCATAATAGGTCCTCTTTACCATGCATTAATGCACACAATGAAACCGTCATGGCATTACAACTGAAGGTCAGAAATTTAGGATGGAAAAGGTTTATTGTTACTTTTATATACATATTGCCTCACAATTTGACTAAAAATAACTTCCAGTGGGAATGAGAAGAAAACATCTTTCTGTTTCCACATACGATTGTATAAAAGTTATATAAATTATCATGGAGAAAATCTATCATTTTCTCCATTTTTTTCATCATCCATCCATTGCTGCTGTACAATAATCATAGCTGAAATAAATTTGAAAAATCTCTTTGAGCTGCTTGTATACACTGTATATTTAGTTTCATTTTATTTATTTATAAATGTAATTCTGTCTTGTTTCTTTTTGCTCCACTGCATACGGGACGACGCCTTCAAAAGTCTTTGAACTTAATTGAATTTCATCCTTTGTTTGTGTTCATATTAATGTGAGCAGTTCTTCCTTTTTTGCTCTTTAAAGGTCACAGTGCTGTCAGTGATCAGAGCTCTGCTGTCAACGCCAAACCTAAACCTCATTATAAAAGAAATGGATGAAATCAAATGGAATATTCTTAGTGCAAAGCAATGCTGTGAGGTTACATTAAGATTGGTGTAGAAATGCAAATTTTCTCTTTAATAAATCATGAATTATCTGTGATTGACCTTATTAAATATGTCCAGTTTCATGAACAGAAATAAACTGTCTACATAAGACCTGTCTGACATCACAAAGAAGGGATTAAATCTGCAGTATGAAACGTTTCAAAATATTTGGTAAAACTGTCATTGTCGTAAAAGTACAACATGAGACAAATCATCTGCAAAGAAATCCTGTGCCTCATTCCTGTTGTCCTACAGTCATCTGCAGAAATGCACAGCTCCTGGTCAGAAACGACCAATCAGAGCCAGGGGGAGGGTCTTAGCACTGTCAATCACGTGTTCACTTCAGTTATTCACTTCTTTGTCTTTCTATCATAAAGTTTAACAATTGTGGGTGGAAGATGAGGAAGAGTTAATAGGATATGGATACTTTTTCTCTGTACTTGGACAGTTTTATCCGGTGTCATCAGTAATTTCCACATTGTTTGTTTTTGTCTCCACAGACAGTGAAGATCCGGCTGCAGTGAGAGATCTGGTGGCGAATGTTCTGTACCAGGACGGACAGACGTAGCGCAGCAACAGATTTCCACCACTCAGCCTCCTTCTCTGTTTTCTGCTGCGCCGTATTAAGGCCACAGCGGACAGGGGGAAAAGGAGCGAATTTCTACCCAAAAACTAAAAAAAATTAGATTCATCTGAAAAATGTGCAAGTTTTTTTCTAGGAAATGTGTGCAATTAATCTTAACATTTTTGGATGAAAATTTGCTCATTGTTGTTATTTTTATTATTTCTTTTTTGGAAGAAAGTATCACAGTATCAAACGTTGAACATTTGTTTGAGGAAAAAGTAAAATTTTGAGATCAATCTCAGAATTTTTTCAGGAGAAATCTTGGGACTTTTTAAGTTTCAAAAGACAAAGTCTTGAAAATTTCCACCAGATTTTTCAAACTCAAAAATTTTCTTGATCTTTCTAGAAAATGTATTGGATTATTCTCAATATTTGAGTTTTTTCTATAAATTTGTAAACTTTTTGAACCCAAAAATTTCCTCGATCTTTTCAGAATTTTCTCAGATAAATCTTAGAATTAAAAAAAGATTCCAGTTTGTTTTAAACTCTTCAAACTCTATTTTATGTTTTTTTTTCCTGAAAATTTCCGAGATTAATCTAAAAAAATTCCTTTAGCAAATTTTCAAGTTTTGAAAATGTCTTCTTTCTTTATTGAAATTGTCTCAGATGAATCTCAAAATGTCAATTTTTTGCAGCTAGTTTTCAACTTTTCAGACTTTGTTTTTTTTTCTTAAATATTGCTGAGATTTAAACATTTCTGAGTTTGGCAGAGATTTACTCCTCATTTTTTTCTATGTACATCGATATGCACGTGTCGTATGCTGCGTTCTCTTCCTAATGTAAATACTGTAATAAAGAGCGTTCCCCAGCGGCTGCTGTTATTCCTGTGCTTTCTGCCATTTGTATTCTGTCTGCTCAGGTTGGCTCCTAACAAATCGAGGGGAGGATGAAAGCTCGAGGCTTTGCAGGGGAAACGCTTCGCTGTTTTCACCAGAGTCCAGATCAACACCGCCTGTATGTCAAATAACCACTGAAATCTCCTCTTTCTTTGCCTGGTGAATTCTCTTAAATGTATAAAGCCCTGCTGATGTTACATAACAGCGTTTGTTTCATAATGACAAAGGCAGCAAGACGGCAGTGTTGTCTCAGCAGCGATCTCCTCGGAGGGCGTGACGCTTGGAAAGGCAGGGGGAATCACCCACTGTTCCTCTGGGGAGGATCCAGTGACCGCCCATGTTTGGCTGCCTGTGTCTTATGAAAAATAAATGAGATGTTTGACTGGGGGAAGCTCAGGTGTCCTGGGAGGCCGCTGCCTCTCAGCTGCCCTTTAGAGACTTGCTCAATCCAACACCAAGAGTTTCACTGATTAACTCAGTTGTTCTGCAATCTTTGCTTTTTATGAAGTTGCTGCAAATTGTTTCTCATTCACATTTGATTTGTGGACATCCTGCATGCCGCAGTCTTTCTTTCTCGCCTGCATAAAAAAATTCATCTGCAGACACAATCTTGTGTAACTTGTAATTGAATTTCACAAAAATGCATGCGTCAAATTTCATTTCCATAATTTCTCATTATCTTGAGTTAACTGTTTTCTTATTCCATATCTTTAAACAGCTTGCTGTATTTGAATTAATTTATTGTGTTGAATTATCAGTTTGACATTCATAACTGTTCAGCTATTTAATAATAATGAAACTTGATTTGTATTATTAGTGGCTTCATTTTTGGCTTGCTTTATCCTGTTGCATTCTTTAATATTTCCAAATAATTAATTTTTTTGTCACTATGACAATTCCTGCATCATTAAATGCAGCTGAGAAACATTTTATCAGACAAACGTATCATTCATTAGTTGGTTTATTTATGCAGTCAAAATTAATAACAATTCTTAATTCTTGAAGCTTTAAGATGGTAAACGTTTGCATCCCTAAAAGGAAATGCATCCGAACAAAATGACTCCTATTATAGATAAGTGGATTTTATAATAATAACTTTTGCAGTTGTATCAGAACACATCTTTGTTCGGCTGCAGCTTGCTGAGCATTTCCATTCTGAGAGCTCATTGCGGCTCATTTATGACCTTTAATGGTCAAGCAGAACCGGGCTCTTGTTTTTAATATGTAAACTATCTGATGTACATGGCTTCCTCAGCATGATCTCCCAGAGAAAATGTCAGCTTAGTATGCAGAAACCTCTCTGGCCTGATGATGATGAATCCTCTGTGGCTTTGACTTTTGCTCCAGGATTTTTCCCAGACATAAATTTTGTACATGAAACATGTCTCGAACATCTGACCCTGTGACCCGGCTGCACCGGGCCTCTGGCCTTGTCGTGATAACTGACTTCTAGGGTGCATGACCGCAACTGAGGCACTTTTATTCAAATTAAGCTTAACAAAATAGCAGTTTTGTCCTTTTTAATGGCAAAATATCCATTAAAGATGAGATAAAAATATCTCATCTGTGCAGCGTCTGATTTATGTACTTGTATTGTGTAAGGTTAAATTTTTATGACGGTATTTGTTTTTATTTTCTGGATAAAGATAGATTTGAAAAGATAAGATTCGGCTGCTTTATGGGTTTTATTTTAGCTTGTGCAGAGATTCTTTCCATTTTTCTTCGACACCATGTTGTTTTTAATCGTCTGGTTTAACAAATCGTTTTAAAAGCGGTTCAGTGTTTCTCTGCCACAAACCCGTTCTGTTAAAAGCCTCGTAAATTCACCTTGGCTAATTTCTATGCATAATTTTAGGGCATATTTTATGAACATGTGCTTGTTTTATTGTTGCATTTGAATATTTTTAAGTAAATTGTCTCAAGATGAAAAGGAAAGATTCAAAGTTAGCTTCACTGCTAGCATCTGTTAGCTTCTCTGCTAGCTGTTGTTAGCTTCACTGCTAGCAGTTGTTAGCTTCCCTGCTAGCAGTTGTTAGCTTCTCTACTAGCAGTTGTTAGCTTCACTGCTAGCAGTTGTTAGCTTCACTGCTAGCAGCTGTTAGCTTCACTGCTAGCAGCTGTTAGCTTCTCTTCGGTTCTTCTAGCCTGTACTGGTTTACTCTGAGCGTCAGCAACAGTTTGTTTGGGACGGTCATGTTTGAAAGTTGCGTTTATAGTACTTTAATGAAACAATAATGAACTTTTTCACATTTTGTAACTCTGCAGCCACAAGTAAAGCATTTTATTTAGATTTTATGTTGTAGACTCACTAAATGGTGCATTGTTGTGAAATGGAAAGAAAATTATACAAGTTTTTTCTACAAAAGCCCTGATCTGATCAATAGACACTGCAGTTCGAATTGTGAGTCATTCCCAAAGCGCTACTGAACCACAGGCTTTCACTGGGTGTTTTAATGTCTTCAGCAGCAGGAGGAAATAAATAAATAAGAAGGTGATTGAAGGTATTGACAAGAAATGAAGGGCAAATAGATATTTGACGTTTTGTGAGGCAGCAGGCAGAGTAAAATCCACCCAGGACAGACCTGTTGGTGTGGAAGTGGGAAGCCTGTGATCAGAGTTAAAGTCCTTCTGCCCACACTGACCTTAAGGGATGCTTTAGTCACCACGAGGGTTTTAAAAATACATTTTACCAAGTATTTCTGTTTTAGTTTTAATACCCTTGAAATGAGAGGAAATGAACTTGTTATTTTTCAACAAGATTCCTTCATATCTTAGTATTGATTGTTTTTTAAGTTATTTTTATACTGGTAGATTATTTCACTTCTAAACTTTGTTTTTGTTATAAATGAATTAATGTGCTACAGTTAAAAAAAACATGAGAACAGTTCATTTATGATTCGGATGGCTTTTCAGTCAATAATGAAATGATTTTTTTGCATTTGCGGCTGATTTTGGTTTTGAAATGTAACATTTAACTTTCGAAGCTCTGATGCATAAATATTAGTGAATGAATTCAGCACCTGCTCCTTTTCTGCTTTCCAGTTTGTCGTTTCGACATGTTGAGTTGTTGCTGCTGCAGAGACGAAGGCGGCTGAGCAAAGCGAAAGCATAGCTTCATTGTGATTTATGAAAGAATAACTGAACTTTCCAACCAGAGGTGTTATCGGCTGCAGTGTTAACAGGATGTGGGTGTAGAAAATGACTCAAAACAGTAGACGGGGGCGGATAAAGGGGGCTCTTCTCTAACAAGGTCTGGTGTGACTTTATATTCCTCCGTTCCCCCCAACAAACCCCTGTTTCCTGGCTTACCGACACGGCGAGCTGTCGCATGAAGCCAAAATGAAATGAAGCGTCACCTGACAAGCTGAAAGCTGCTGGGACTTTAATAAACTGTAGTGTAAAAGAAGAAATCAAATTACATCCCTGCAGTCAGTAATTGGACGGTCTTTGACTTGCAGAGTTGGTCTGGACTCTGCTGTGAATTTAAACCAGGGCTGTCGGTGTCTGTTCCTGCTCAGCAGATGGGTTCTCTGTCTTTGGTTGGTGTCTCTGAAGCTCCCCAAAAATCAGCATTTAAAGAGATTTTATTATTTGAGAATAACGTTTGGACACGATGTATACAGCAGTGCTGTGTTTCTGTCAGGGAAAATAATCTATTGTGCAGCAGGATGAGATTGTGTGTTTGTAAAAATGGCAGCGGGTCGTTTCCCTCTGGTGCTGTGGGAACATCTGCTTTCTGGGCTTTTTATAGAAGGATGGCAGAGAAGGGCAAACAGTTTGTCTATGGGAATCAATGTAATGGGTTGCGCTGACCGTCTTTCTTGTAGAGCCCTCCTACAAACAGTCTGCTTAGTCATTTTACAGACAAGGAGTCTTTTTCTACAGAAGAGGAACAGAGCTACTGAAAAATTCTCCGAATTCAGACTTGATTCTAGATATTTCTCAGGATTCTGACTTATGATCACACAAAACTAAAGTCAGAATTTCACAAAAAAGTCACAATTCTGGGGAAAAACTCAATTATGAGAAATTCTGAGATTGATGTCAGAATTTGGGGGGGAAATTTCAAAAATGACAAAAAAAGAATTCTAACAAAAAAGTCAAAAATTGAAGAAAAACAGTCAGAATTTTGTGAAGAAAGTCAAAATTATGAGAAAAAATCAATCCTGACAGTAAGAATTCAGAGAAAAATAGAATTTTGAGACAAAAATCAGAATTCTAGGAGAAAAAAAATTCTGAGATTCTGAGAAAAGTCAAATTCTGAAGAAAAAAAAACGATTCTAAAAAAAGTCAGCATTCTGAGATGAATGTGAAAATTACAGTAAACATTCTTAAAAAAGTCAAAATTTTTGAGAAAAAACTCAAAATGCTGAGATTAAAGTCAGAAGTTTGAGAATATTCTGAGAAATAAAAAATCTGGAAAAAAGTCAGAATTCCAAGATTAAGTGAAGGATGTTCCTTTCCCTCATCGGCCCCACTCCACTTTTGTATTTGCCACATAACGAACTGACCCAAAGTGTAAGTAGTTTCCATAAATATTAAGGAGAACAGCTAGCCAGAATACAGATTTTATTTTAAGCAGAGAAAATACTATTCAGAAGAGGTAAAACACCAAAAATAAATTTCTTTAATACATTAATTCCTTTCACACAGAATAGTAATTTCACTACTACATTTATAAGAAACAAATACTGCCAATCTGTGTGTGGATGGATGCTGTGCAGCACAGTCGCAAGCATGGTTGGGCTCAAAGCAGAGCATGATGGCCTCTGATAAACAGCTTTTGGTCATCTGAACCATGAAAACATAATTCAGGTTGCTAGTTTGCTTATTTTATGTGAACAAATCAGAAACCATGGCATCAGAAACAGAAATGGTGAAATATTTATATCAATAAAGACCATATCTATAACGATTAGCATGAAGAGGAGGAGACCTTGGCTTGGAGCTGAGCCATAACCAAATGATTAAAGTCTCCTAAAAGAGGCAGAGCATGAAGGCAGCTGGGGTTGGCTTTTGGCAGCTTGTTTTGTTTCGACCCAGTTGGGAAAATGGGAAGGATTCCGTTTTTTTCCCATGTGAAAAAGAAACAAAACCTCGCTATGCAATCATGCACACAAAACGCACTCACATCCTGGCCCTACAGACTTCCAACGTGACATTTTCTGACTAGAACACCACATGCAGACTTATTTATACAAAGGCTGAACTTGACAATGTCATGCAGATCAGGACTGTTTTGGTGTTTTTGTTGCTTCTGAGTCTGACTCAAATATATCAAATCAATGTTTAGTTGTTTTTAGGGCATTTTCTGGAAAATGCTGTTATAAAATCTACATTACTGTCAGGCTGAGGAGTGTGTGGAAAACTTTAAAAAAAAATCACAATTATTTTTTATTAAGTTGTAGAAATTTGGAATATTTTCCAAAAATGAAATGAGTCAAACCGAATTTTAAATGTTTTAAATACATTTAGGGCATTTCATCCTTTTATGTAATACCACTTTACTGGAAGGATTATCATTAATAATTTTTTTTTGCCATCTGTCTCCAAAGTAACAGAAAGGAAAGAAAACAAAACTACACTTTACTCAGTTGTTTCTTAAATTAATTAATCCAGTGATTTCCAACCAAAAGAATAAATATCATTTTGACCATTAGGAGATGCTATAGATGCTAAAAATAGCTTGGAGAAAAACGATAAAACTGAAAATATTTAGCTAACCTGAAATGCTAATCTGACGTTTAACTGCTCAGATCTTAAACTTGAGTATTTGATAAAATAGTGAGCTACGTTTGTAATATTTCAAATTCATAACGGTTCGATGCTGTTAGCTAACATGCTAAATGTTAGCTAACATATTGATGTTAGCTAACACGCTAACGATTCAGCTGCAAAGAAAGAAATGGATGCCTGCAGATTCTTCTGTGTGAAACAAATGAGTCATTTAAAAATGTCTGTTTTAAATTAATGGAAAATTTAAATGTGAATAATAATAAAAAAGGTTTTCTGAAGATAACAGTCAACAAACATTAAACCAACGTGAAGTCTTTGTAGTCTAGTGTGGTGTTTTCCATTTAACTGCTTTCATTCGAGTTTGAAATTGAATAAATCAACAAGAATTATTGGGTGCTAAAATATATTTTGTAAATGTTTAGTCTTCTGAAAAAAATGTTAAGAAGCCACCATCATCACAGCTAAACAAGGGTTTGGTCCATTTGTACTAAGTTCATAAAATAAGCAACTTCTTTTAAAGATTGAAGTGTAAAAGTAAATTGCGATGGATGTCGAGATCCAACATGGCTACTGCTACATGTATGAAGTACAGTAATAGTTGCAGTGATTAGCTGTTTGTGCTTCTGTGTATTTGTACATCATAAAATTACTCACATACTGAACTGAACAACGCATTGATGAACAAACACCGCAGGGTTTATATGCCTCAGTCGCAGTAAAAATATATTCACTTTTATTAGCTTTTTTTTGCTAACAGTAGTTAACCTAGTCACTTAACGTAATAGTAAGAAAATCCTTGTAAGTTGAACACGGTTGACTTCTGACTTCCATATAAGCAAATACGATAAACTGACAAACATTTAAAACAATGAAACAATTTATACGTTGCATCTTAAATTTCAGTGTTGACCACAATTTTACAATTACAGACAAGATCAGTTTTGTGTATGAGGAGACCTAAAATTGTTGGAAAGCACTGGTTTAATCCAAGATAACTTTTCTCATCGTTCTGCCAATTGGAGTGACTATTTAGCCCAAACAAATTTAATTTTAAAACACCAAACATCTGTGTTAACTGGCGGCGCATCAGGGCCGTTGTAGATGGAGGGGAAAGAAGTACATTTCCATCCAATTTTCTAGAAAAAACAACATTTCTGAGTTTGAAAAGTCAAAAATCTCTAGAAAAAAACTCACATTTTGAGATTAATCTAAAAAAATATCTTTACAAAAACATACAAATTTCAGTTTTTGTCATTTGAAAGTTTTTTTCCAGAGAAATTTTCAGCTTAATCTCAAAATTTCTGAGTTTTTTTCTTGTAAATATTCATTGTTTGGAGCACAGACAATTTCTGTTTTTGTTCTAGAAAATGTTCTCAGATTATCCTCAAACTATCAGATTAGTTTCCTGCAAATGTTTGAAACTTACACTTCCAAGTTGTTGGCTTTTTTTTTCACAAAACATTTTAGAACATCTCAAAATTTGAGGGTTTTTTACAGGAATTTATTCCTTTTTTCTATCCACAACGGCCCTAATAGGTAATCGTAGTTTTACAGAACTGTAGGCAATTTTTTGTAACATAGAAAAAAAAATAAAGTGGAAATAAATCTCAGTATGTGATTGAGGTGTAATTCAACACAATTCCTCAGCAGCCAAATCATCATAGATTCAAAATAAATTCACTTCAAATTGTTAAATATTTTTCTTTTCGTAAGCAGCAGAACAGAAAACACAGCATCATCCCAAAACCTGGCGAGATCAGGTTTTGCTCTGCTTCACTAGACGATTATCAGAGAAAATCAAGTCAAAACTCAGCAGACATGAAGATGTGAGCTTGAGAACAACAGAGGTGAACGATCATCCATGTTCTGGCAGTGACGCTGTGATTGGACGGTCCAGATAAAAACAGAGGGCATCGTTTCTCGCAGCTGCAGCCCGTTAGCGATGACGAGACCTGGCAGCTGATGCGGAGTCGGCTCACAGGTTTTCGTTGGTGTCGTGTTGGCGCCGGCCGTCGGTTACAGTGTTCAGGAAGGGCAGCTCGTCGCCGCAGCCTTGAAGCTTCAGAACCCGACTGTTCAGATCCAAGCAGCACTGAGGGAGGATTCGCATGGCGAGACATCATTATTCCTGCTCTAAATAATTTAAGCCAGCCTGACTTCAGGAGGCTAATCCAAGGCCTGTTCAGTTATAAATCACCCAAAACAAGGAAAACTCTCCACTTGTTCTGTATTTTCTTACCTTTTTAACTCATTATATTTTCTACTTTCTCCACAGCAACAACACAAAATCGTACCAAGTATTTTGAAGAATAGTTTCTAGAGCAAATCTCTTAATAACAAACCAAAATTAACGTAGACGTAACTTTTCGGCTTGTTTTAAGTAACTTCAGTATATATAACTTCACTTCAGTATATATACAGTATATGTAATATATTATCAAAGAAAGGGATTGTGATAAATTATATTATCTGATAATTAAATTTTCTGCCACAGAACTTAAGGCCGTCTAAAATCCAAACTTATGAGGCAGCATTTATGTTAAATGAATGTAATAATTATTGATTAGTGAATGAAAAACATCGTAAAAGTTGATATTTCTTCACATTTCCTGTTTGTTTACGGTTTGGGTTTCCTGCCAGATCTGATGATCCTTCAGCATGATGCAACCAACAGACTGATTAAAGTCAAATGAAATCAATTACGTTTTGGGTTTTATTCAATAATCAGTTGCTCTGATGCAGGATTTGTTTTTTTTTTTTACTTTCGCTTTGAAATTTAATTGTCTTGACCTTATGATCTATGAGAAGCAGTGATATTTTTATAGCTACACACTTAAACAACATTATGATACTTTAGGCATCTAATTATATTAAATTAGATTTTAATAAAAATAAAGCCAGAGGGTAAAATCACCTTCCATTTAACGCTCCAACTGAATCCAAGTTCACATTATTTTCACACATTATTTTTCTGTTTTTCTGTCCTGCCATCGGTTTTAAAACAGATTTCTGCTTTTCCCATTTAGCATTTTAGCTTCAAACGGGACGACTATTTTTTCTGCACGTTTGGATCGTTATTCACTAAGTACTAAAATAAAAAGTGAACCTCACTTTCAGCTCCAACAGAGTCTGCAGACCCAGGCACAGTTCAGACGCCTCATCCTCTGAAAGTGGAGAGAGGAAAAGATAAGAGCAGAGAAAATAAAATGAAACGTGTTATAAAACTGCTTTATGGAAGCAATTTAACCACCCCGTCTGAACATGCATAAATTAGACTGAAGCTCTTCAAAAATATTCCTTTGTGTGATAATGAGAGCTGCTAAGCTTGTACTTATGAGGGTGGTGTGTTAAAAACTTAATATCTGTGGGTTGAATTTGTGTCTTGAATTATCCATTTTCCACTGGTTAGAATGATTTATAACAATGTTCTTACCTTTCACATATGCTGAACACTGGACAGTCTGCCTGCCCAGCTGGAGCTGCAGACCAGTCACTGAACTGGTAGCACCGCATGGTGAACTGTCCTTACTGGGAACCAGTCTGAGGAGACATGCACACTCTGTGATCCTCACAGTAACTTCAGTAATTAGCATGTTTAGCTGGTTGATGTTGCTGCCTTCTATATGCAACTTTCACTAATAATTTAGCTCATTTATTGGTTTATCAGCTACTTTAAAAACAAATTTGAAATCAAAAGAAGAAAAAAAATTTTAAAATATTTTAGCTGTCTATTCCAGTAGAATCATAAGAGTTTAAAAATATAACAGTTTTTATTCTTGGTGATATTATTGAAAATAAATGGTCACTATTACATCGTGTTTTGGTTTAGGACAATGACTAACATGGAGATTTGGCTTTAACTGAGGAAAAAAACCCAAGACTGTCAGCAGTTACAACCGGAGCAATGAGTTTACACAGCATAAAGCTTCTCAGGTAAGAAATTACATATTTTCTAACACATTTTATACTCCATTTGTATAAAATATGTTCATGGTGTACAAAAACACAAACTTCACAAAGTATTTTTGGTCTGGTTTGTAGTCCAAAATGTTAGTGCACTGGAAGTATTACAAAACTAACTTAAGAGTAACTTTTCCATGCAAAAATGTGACTTTTTTAAAGTAAATAATTCCTTAATTTAGATTTTAAAAAGTATTTCCTCTGACAGATTATTTAACATGAGGAAAATGTCTTGTTATAAATTAAATGATCTGCCAGTGGAACTGGTTTTCATCAATAATAAGGAATTATTGATTTTAAACGAGCTTGCTGAAAAGTTAATTGTAAGTTTTTGCAGAGCACTTGAAGACTAAAGTCACGGTTAATTAAAGCCCGACTATAATGATTGCTAGTTTGAGTGCCAGTTTAATAAGTCTCCATTTTCCTGCCTGTTGGACAATATTTAATGAAATATTCCCCTTAGCAACTTAAATTTAATATGTTTTTTATATTTCTCAATTTTGTAAAAGTATATCAAATAAACCATAATAAAATAAAATCATTATTGAAGAAAGGTACTGATGGTTTGATTACATTTCCCTTTAATGCTTTAAAGTCTCTTTCAGTAGAACGTCATCTTTGTTGGCAGTTGGTTTGTCTGGCTGTAGAAACAGGAAGTGATGCAGTGAAATCGGTGCGTTTCGTTGTGTTGAGCTGGATGTTTCTTACCCCAGCCTCTGGCAGCAGTTGGGGGAGATGTGGTTGTGCAGGCTGCCAGTGTTGATGGATGCCTTCACTTCAGTTTCGCAGCACTGAGGAGAGAGATGCAGAGAGAGGAGGGGATGTTGGTGACATAGTGGGATTTTCCAATTTGCAATGATTCTGCATGCAAGGAAAAAGTTTGTCACAGCGGCACATAAGTGTAGCTTCAGGGAGTTTTAAAAAGCTAATCTTCCCTCTTTCACACAAATGTGTCTGGCTGCAATGTGCCGATGAAACTGCCAAGTTGAAAAATAAAATCCATAAACAAAACAAACACTTAGTGGAGGATTCCCTGCCCAGGGTTTAATGTTGCTGTGACTTGGTCTGCATCGATTCTGTGCAGCAGGTCAAGTTAACATGAACCTCCTGCGTGTTATAGATCCGAAAATGTCGCGCACGCGCAGAACGCCGGACACAGAAATGAACTCTTTTATGTGCCAACTCTTTTATTTTAAGGATGGTTAGCTTAAATATTAAGACTCATATTGCTGACATGAGATGCTGATTCATAAGTCTGCTGAATGCACTTTGACTTTTTCCGTTTCTACACAAGCAGCCATGAAATATTAACCAAGTGAGTCATATGTGCGCATTTAACAAACTGCAAATCACAGTGCAGTGAAGTAAAAACAGGTGATTTATTTTTTATGTCATGTCACAAATCTAAAATCATGTCTTTGAATAAGAATAACATTAAATTCTCGTCCCACAAGCAATTGTCTTGCATCTATTACAACCATTCCTCTCATACAATTAGATGAAATTACTGTGAAATGTGTTAATAATAGATAATTAGCAGCCAGTCCTGCATTCTCCATCAGCTCTAGAGCTATTTAATGAGTCTCATCTTTGATTTAATCTCTCAGCTTTCATCAGGATCCACTCTGAAAGCATAATGTGTCCTGACTGAACCTCGATAGGAAACTCATTAGTTTTTCACATTGAAAATTTATAAGATTATGATGTGCTGATTTCTATTTCTAAATTACTTTCTTTTGAGTTATGTTCAAATATTGCTGCATGTTATTACAATTATTGCTTTCTCAAAGCTTACATTTTGCAGTTATGAATGAATAATTTATTTAGACAGATTTTTACATTCTCACTAAGGACTGCATCTCGTAAAATATAGATATCATAAACATAATGGGACATAAAAAACATTGATATGTGGATAATAAAATAAAATACAAGGACGTACGATGATGGACATAAAACATGAGTACCAACAATAGGCAAATACTGAACTAAATGAATGGTTCTTTAGTTTTTTCTTTTTTTTAATCAGAATAAAATGAATCCCAACCTTTTAACAGAAACCCATTCTGCATTATGCTATTCATGTTGGATTATTCAATTAAGAGCAAAACAAATTTAAAGTTATAAATTCTGGTTTTAGAACAGCTAAAATATTTGTGTTCTGGCTTTCTCTACATATAAATCACATAAATTACTTTATTATGTATTCATTTATTTTTTTAATGGAAGCGTTGAGTGAAAATCCTTTGCTTTCAAAGGAGTAAGAAAAGATTTAAGACACAAGCAAACTAAAAGTGTCTTCCTAACTGGTTCTGCTTCTGCTACCCATAATGCAATGCAACCTCAGAATTCACCTTAAAAATATAAGCATCTATGCTAAATGTATAGATGCTTCTAAACTAAACCTTTTAGCATGAATTTTTACAGAAATATTTCCATTTTTTATCACTAAATTATTATGAACTATTTCTAACTTTTAGCCTTGAGCAGAACAATTAGATTTCTTAATCTCAAATTTTGTACCACAAACAAGCAAAGGTAGTATGACAATAAAAAATCCTGAACCCTTGAGTCCTTCTAGCCTAGCTTCACTGAACCAGCTGAACTGAATCATCTGAACTGAACCAGCTTCACTGAATCAGCTGAACTGAATCAGCTTCACTGAACCAGCTGAACTGAACCAGCTGAACTGAACCAGCTTCACTGAACCAGCTGAACTGAATCAGCTGAACTGAATCAGCTTCACTGAATCAGCTGAACTGAATCAGCTTCACTGAATCAGCTGAACTGAACCAGCTGAACTGAATCAGCTTCACTGAATCAGCTGAACTGAACCAGCTGAACTGAACCAGCTGAACTGAATCAGCTGAACTGAATCAGCTGAACTGAATCAGCTGAACTGAACCAGCTGAACTGAGTTAGTTTAACTTTGTTAGGATGAAGTATCATCACTCCTTTACCCTTCAGGAGTATTAAATATTCTCAAAATGTAGCTTTGCTTCAAAATCAACATGTTCCCCATTTTATGGTTCTGTAATCTCATTGTATTTTTTTGCCTTTTACTTCGTTTTATAAAATCTCTTCATACAACATTAAGAAAAAAAATCATTGGTCTTTTGTGGTTGTCATTGATTTCTCAAGGTGAGGTGTTGGAGTAGCAGCTTCAGCAGGCAGCCTGGCCTATTTTCACTGACATTTATTTTGTTCTTTCTTTTCACAGTTGCTCTGCTCCCTGCGAGACATTTCAATATGCAGCAGACTGGAATGGTTTATGCTCAGTGTTTCTGAGGTCCTTCCTCAGAAACCTTTAAGTTGGTGTCAGTGGAGGAACATTAAAGGAAGAGTTTGGGATGTAAACGCAGCATATGGCGGCTCTGCAGGCCTGTGAGATGAGCAGCGGGGTGACGCCACCCCCACACGGTGCATAATTTAGATATTTTCCAGGATTATCTACAAAGAGTGCTCAGCTGTATGGACTATTTTTATCTTTTATAAAGTCTCATATGAACTACAACTCAAGCATCAGTTTAATACTGTTAGCTGTTCAATATTTTAGACCTGTTTTAAATGTAACCAGCAGCAAATTTCACTGTATTTAGAGGGTTGTTATGAAAGATGGCTCTGTTGGAGTTAATCAATTAATAGCTTGATGAATTTAAATATTTATGGTTTTGTTTGTAAGCAGATTTTGTTGTGTTTTTATTTTTTATTTATAAAATATCTTCCAGTTCCAGTGTTAAATGTTCTTTATAAATATTAAAGAACACTTATTAATCTTTGAAATTATGAATGCATTACTTAAAATGGTCTCAAAACAACATTGTTGTAGTTTATTGCCATAATTACTGGGACAATTGTGGGTTAAAATGGTTGGTAAATGTCTTTTCTAGGCTTGACTGACTAAAACATGTGTACAATAAACCATAATATTTTTTTCTTGAGATAATTTTCAAATAATAAGGCAAGTTTTCTCTCTCAAACACTAATAAACTTAAATTTTGGACCGAATACTTAATAGGATGATATTTTAAATACGCAAAATCAAACAACTAAAAGGTGAATATAAAATATTGATCATCAGAATGAGAATTATTGAGCTTGTTTTAATTTATCATGAGATCAACTGATTAATTCCTTATTTTAACACATTTTTTGTGAAAAATGTTTAAGTATTTTCATTTATCACAATAAATTTCAGTCAGTATTGTGTGTATTTTACAATTTTTTTCACAGTTTGTTCCACAAAAGCATCAATAAATAGCAATAACTTCAAAAATATGATTTAATGCAGTTAGTGATTTAAATCACAGTTTTTATTTTTCTTAAAAAATATTATTTTAAATTTGCGGAGCTACGAATGTAATCAGTTGTACAGTTAAATAAAGTTTTTTTTTACATATCATAATCACAAAATATTGCAATAAAATTCTAAATCCTTATCACCCACTCATCGACTTACTGTTGAAACTTGACTTTTTCTCTTTTTTTGTGCTATAAATTTCGGTTTTGTTGTTTTATACCAAGATCTTCCAAAAGTCGTCTTCTATCATATTTATTTGCCCTTCTCTGCCGGTCATAAATCGATACTTTATCCACTTCACCAAAGACAATCTGCCGCCCGGTGGAAACGAGCCCAGTGAGTTTCTTGTGGTTCTGCTCGCTCTGCACGGACCAAGATGGCCGCTCTGCTGTTGCAGGCTTATCAGCAGACACAGAAAACTGCTCTTTGTTCTGAGTCCTGCTGCCTCTGAAATGCTTTAAAAATAGCCACTGAATGAATAACACAAAAACACGGAGCTGTTAATGAGTTGATGATAAAACCCAGAATGCTGAATGTGCAGGAAAATAGGATGAATTATTTAAAATATTAACAGATCGGCAGCATTCAGTGATTCATTATTTAAACACCACTGAGAACAGGAGCTGTTTGTTCTTAGCATTGATTTCTTTCAAAGATAAAAACAGGGAAATAGAAGCTACTTTTGCTGCTGGTTAAATTTTAAAAATGAGCTTCTTTATGGGCTGAAGTTTTGCTACACTTTTTGTTTTCATAAAAATTTAAACTATAAAAATGTCAAAAAAGAATTTCTTCATTAAGTTACTGTGATCCCTTCCAATACAGGGAAATATTTGTTGGCAAACGGAAGATGCCTGTTTTTAGTCAGTTCTGTTCAATTTATCTTAGATTTAACTGATAATCTGAGGAATTTAATCCCAATCTGGAGACATTAAGCAATAATTATTGTAGAAAAAAAAGAGTATGTTTTCACATAAAAACTCCAAACGTTTGAGACTAATTAAAAGAATTCTGTAAAAAGTGCAAAATTTGAGTTTGAAAAATCAAAACATTTTCAGAATAATTCCAGAAAACTGAGGAAAAAGAAGTGGACATTTCTGAGGTTGAAGAGTCAAAAATTTGCTAGAAACTTTTGGTAAAATTTGAAAAGTTGAGAATTTTCCAGAATTTTGCAACTGAGCTAAAAAATTTTATAGAAAAAAAGGAGAATTTCTGAATTTGGCAAGTCAAAATTTTGCTACAGTAAAACTCAGAACTTGAGTTTAATCTCAGAAATTCTCGAGAAAAAATAAGGGAATTTGCTGTGTTTCAAAAGTCAGAAACTCAGAAATGTCCAAGTTTTTTTCTTGAAAATCTTTGACTTTTCAAACCCAGAAATTTCCTTGTTTTTTTTCTAGAAAATTTTAGATTTTTTGTTGGAAATTTCTCCTTTTATAAACAATGACCCTAATATGCTGCCTTGGATCTAAACTTGAGTTCAATGAACATAATTTGTTGGTAACAAATTTACTGATTTTTTTTATTTTCGCCTGAAATCCAATAGTTTTGTTTAAAACCAGAACTTATGTTTCAGCTCTGCTGCAGTAAATGTTTCACCCATTTGGACCCGTTCGGATTTTCAGTCTCTGTGACTCACTTATCTGTGAATCGGATCCAGTCTGAAAGCTGCTGGTCCTACAGAGCTTTTCTTTCGTTCTCAAGTGAAATGAGCTCCAAGTTATGAGTCACAGGAGCACAATGGAGCCCGTCTCCTTTTGTTTTCAGTTTGCTTGCAGATATATGTGGGTGAATCAAAGGAAAAAATGCAGGCAGACTGTTGTACAGTGCGTGGTACCTTGCATTGAATAATTAAAGCTGTGAGTCGGGTCGAGCTGTCCGTGCTCTCCGGCTTCTCGGCTGAGTGTCTGGCTCCGGCCTCGCTGTTATCGTCCTCCTCGTCTGATCGGAGGCTCCTCTCGCTCTCCTCCAGAGACTCCCTCTCCTCGGTGGAGTCGTCCGCCGTGCTCTCGCTCCGCTCCTCGGCGTCCGTAGGTCCGTCCTTGGTGTCAGCCAACGGCGAGCGAACCCTGGCGGTGGCGTCCCGGGCCTCGCCTCGGAGCCGTGGGATGTTTCCCTCCAGCAGGCGCCGCTGAACGATGCTGTGAGGTTGCTAAAAAGAAAAACAGAGACGGAAATGTTGAGATAGTAAATGAAAACAACTCAAGCACTGAAAAACTCACCTAGCCATTTTGTTTTAGCATTAACTTAAAGTTTTTTTGGGGGGTGTCACCTTCAGAGTTTAACATCACAAATCACCGAGTGACCACAGCCAAGTCTGTCACCTAGCATCCAGAAACCACTTGCTGTATTCCTGTTTGTGCAGGAGGCTCTACTAATGCTTTTCAAAGATGCACAGTAGCATAAATGTGCATCTCTGTGCAGCCATTTTCACGTGCAAGTGTAAATGTTGAGTTGGAGAGAAGTTTAAGTTGGATTTAAATTGACAAGACGCTCTAAATTAGCTTAAAGTTGGTAGAAATGATCAGACTGAAATCTGATTATCCAAGAATGTTTTTCTGCAAACAGAAAAGTTTAACATGTTTTGTGTAGACCATAGATCTATTCTAAGCTGTTCAAAAAAAAGCAGAATCGCTCACCTTTTACTAACAGAAAGAATGCAGTCTTTTATTTACAACTGTAGCCTTTCAAGAAGCTTACATTTGACCTCTGAATAAGAAAATGTTGATTTTGCATAGATGACCATTTTATTGTAGAATATGTTAATATAAGATCAATTTAAAGCTGAAATAAGTCATGAAAATAAGCTAAATCTCCACATAAAAGCTCTTTACTGTGGAAAGATCTCTGGGAGGGATTTATTTAGACAAATCTTGAACTATAAAGGTTTTAATGTGTCGTGACGAAGCTCTTTTTATGCCTTAATCCACCTGTCTGGATTAACATTTATGTTCTCAGCACATGGTTGGTGTTTTGTGTCAGATTCAAACCAACATGGCCGCCTGTTCACCGTCATATTAGCAGGAAATTGTATTTGAGCAGCCTGTTGCTCCATAATCTCATTGCTTTTCCAGACCTGCAGTTATTAGTTGAAAGCTTTCCGTCTTTTTCAAGGGTTTTCTGAACATTCAAACCTCCAGAACACCGGATTGTTTTTGTCTTTTTTCACTCAGTAAACCTTTAAATAATAATGAAAAACTTCCGTCAAACTATTCAAAATAGATCAACGTTTCAGAAATCTAAACTTATATTAACTCTGATTTTGATTAGAACATAGTTTTAAAGTGAAATTAGAAGATAATTTTCATTTGTCCAACCATCCATCCAACCAATCATCCATCCACATGACCATCCAACCAAACGTCCATCTGTTCATCCATCCGTTTATTAATCCATCCATTCAGCCATTTGTGTCTCCATCTCTCCTTCCTTCTGGTTGTCTTCTCTCCATTAGTTTTTCTTTCCATCCATTGAAAGTTGAATCAGGAACAATGTGGATCGTTTACATGAACAACTCTGAATTTTAGGATCATTATTTGAATCAGCAATAAAAAACAGAAGGGCAACAAGTTTAATTTTTTAAATTTAGAGGTAAAAAAAAAGTGTCACCAGGACAGAAAACCATAAGCAGCATCTTGTTAAAAAATTTAACTACAAAAAACTATATAATTATTAGACAGAAACAGGAGTAAACATGCATTAGTTTGAGCAATAAACTGAATGATCCTTCACTAAATATTGCAGTAATCCAATCAGTGGCTTAAAATGTATCTGTCCTCCTCCTCTCTTTATTGCAGTGACCAGCCTGCAGCTATTACACCTTTAGAGAAAATGGTTGTTTTTATGTTCCCAAGCATAAAACAGCCGTCCAGCCATCGCTGTTCCTGCTCTTCATCTCATGGGAGCTCCAGCTATTAGCACAAGGTGTTTTTGAGAATCAGCTCCACCAGGTCTGATTGGGCTTTTGATTACATTTCTGCATAATTGTGCAATCAGTTGAGCAATTTGTTGTTGTCCAGCTTTTAAGCTCATTAAGTCTCAGGTTATGTGTAAATGTAGTAAAGTATGATAAACACTGAACCTGCTGCTTTTCTTTAACACCAGTGATTATTTTAGGGGGTTTTGCACTGATTAAAAAGCATGTTGATATGATCTGGTTTGCTGTTAAAATATTCCTGAGTGAAACTTGAATTGGACCCAGAGCATTTTATGGACAACACAATAACATGGCAGACATTAATTTACCTTCTTGGCATTTAGAAACAATGAAATTGGGTGAATAAAATGAGGTTTCTGCGTTGGCTTGCTGTTTTTCAGCAACACTCCGGCAGGTAATCACCTGCCAGGTCACAGAGTTCGATTTGGCCTCTTGTCGTCTCTCCAGCTGGGATTGAGCAGCTGCTGCTGATGCCCTCGTCTCGTCTTTACATCTCTCCTCTTGTTTCGCGTCATCACTGAACCAACCTGACACTTTCCCTCATTTTTACCACTGAATCTCAACTTGTTCCATTTATTTTCTCCTCATTTACTGCTTATATTAGAATACTTTATCACTTTTTACCCTTTTGTTCACTGAAAAAGGATGATCCAACATTAAATATAACTTTAATTTGTTGCAAGTAATCAAATCAAGTTGTCATGCTAAAAAAGGATAACTAATTTATTTACAATTTGATAACTCATTTAATTAATTTGTAGACTCATTGTCATTTTTCAGTTTGTTGCTCAACCTTATTTTAACACTTCAATCCCTTACAAAAACATTTCTAAATGATGGATTTTTTAGCAAACAGTAAAATACAAGAGTAAATTTTTGCAAAAATATTTTGAGTTCAATATCAGAAATAAAAAAACAAAAATTTTGAATTTAATAGAAAATTTCAAGAAAAAAATGACAATTTTACGGAAATTTTTGAGAAAAACACAAAAATTTTGAGTTTTATAGAAATTTTAAAGAAAAAGACAAAAAATTTGAATTTAATGGTTTCAAAATTGTCAAAAGTCGAACATTTTTTACCTTTGAAACTCATAAACGTAAAAGGAAATCCAACAGATTTGACCCAGGTCATCAAGTTTATCCAGGAAACCGACAAAATGTACATAAACTTTGAATCTGAAAAAGATACATAACTTTCTAAAGAAATGTTCTCAATAAGTTTAGTGAATACATTTAGTATATATACATAATTTTGGTCATTTCAAAGTTTAAACAAGTAGTTTGTCCTGATTAGACTCCAGAGAGTGAGGAATAAAATGTATTTTTATTCAGTGTCTGTAAATATCTGGTCTCAGTTCTGCTTCGGTTGAGCAGCTAAAGTTCTTCCTCTGCCTACATCTCCCAGAATGCTGTGCAGTTCTGGATCAGAGTTCAGTGAATATTGAATTATATCATCTATTAGTGTTTACCACACGTCTGTTGTGATATATATTCATTATTTCAAGCATAAGAGTTACACACAACTGTAGTTTTAATTTCTGATGATCCAATCCATTTAAATGTTTTTGTTTTCCTGTAGTCTGTATTGGGTCAGAACTGCAAAACGAAACCATGATATTCGACATCTCTTTAGAGAATTGCCTCATTTTTTAGGGTTGGTTAAAATGTCCAAAAGTTAAGGTTAATCTAGACGCCTTTTTTTAACCTCATTTATCTTTTCAAACATTTTTTTGACGATCATTGATTGTTGCAACTCCCAACTGTGTCCAAATTTAACAATCTCGCTTTTATTTTGAGGTGAAGTTAAAGGCAGTCGTCTCTTTGCAGTATCAATCAGTATCGACCCTCCACAGCATACTGCTGCCACCATCGTGCTGAGCAGCTCTCTTTAAAGGTTTCCATTGTGGTGAATGACACCATCTTCGTCTCATGTTAATAAAATGGCTCATCAGACCTTTGGTTAGCATCCTGACCAGTTTCCCTTTGGTTTCCGTCAGATTGTTGCAATTTAAACCCAGCTGGGCTTTAAACAGGAAAATGATCTAAAACACACACCACCACTGGCTCTGGAATTGAAAAACAGGGCAACACTGAGCTCCTTTTAATGGCAATTACCAAAATTACACAGTCAGGGCTTTTCAAAATTACCAGTGAAAGAAAACCAAACAGTTTTAATGCGATTAAATATCAGTCATGATTGTCGCTGAGGCCGGGTTTAGCAGCAACAGCGTTTCAGACTGATATAAATGAAACGACCTACCATGTCTGCTAAAGTGCTTCTATTATCCTCCACGGAAGAAAGCTAATATGATTGGGCGTAATGTCAGCTATTAGTGTTTTTCCATGTTTTCTGGTGGTTAGTCCTGACTGCTACGGAGCAAATTAGCTTAGCAGCAGCAGTGCTTTTCCACACAGCGGTTTATCATAATGTTACCGTTTGCTTCGTGTTGTCGGGCGCAAGATTGATTCAGTTTGAGTTGAAAAGGGAAATGGTAGAGATGTCTGGAGAGAATCTGATAAAACTTAATCAAACTAGAAAATTATACCCAGAGTAGCACTACTTCAACATATTTACTAAAGTAAAAGTCAAGAAATTACTGAAGCACTGAGTAACTAATCAAAACATCAATCATTAATATTTAAAAATATCAGCAGACAAAATGTATTTGGAAATGTTATCAAATTAATTGCAAAAGACAAAATCAGCCAAAAGATTTTTTTAAATATTATTTTCTTTCTTTATAAAACTTGAGACTTAAACTAAAACTGCAGGCGTGTAACAGGGAAATTTGTGGTTGATTCATTCATTAAATTGGGTAGAATATTCAGAAATTTTACTCCAGTACGAGCGATAAACAAGATTATTTGAGTGAAGCATAATAAAAATACTCCTAGAAGTATTTTTTTTTCTAAAAATAAGTAACCAGTCACTGTTCAACTCTTGGTACTTTTGACTTTATTTTGCTCAAAAGCCAAACAAGCCAGAAAAGTTTGATTTTATTGATATTTTTTAGTCATAAGCAGCTCCAAACGTTAGTATTTCACCAATTAAAACAGAATACACTGTCTTAAAGTTTTGTGGTCAGTTGATTTACAATTAGATAGTTTTAAAAAACAAATTACATCTGCTTCATGAAAAATGTGTTGCAATATTTCTAAAAAAAAAAAGCGCCACAAAATCTGTGATCTTCATTGCAGAAACTCACAGAAACAAT